AAGTAGCTGGGATTACAGGCATGTACCACCACGCCTGGCTAATTTTTATATTTTTAGTAGAGATGGGGTTTTGCCATGTTAGCCAGGCTGGTCTTGAACTCCTAGCCTCAGGTGATCCTCCTCCCTCGGCCTCCCAAAGTGCAAGGATTACAGGCGTGAGACACCAGGCCCAGCCCTGTGTTCTATCTTTATAGTCTTTTTCTTTCACTCCTCAGTCAGTCTACTGTCATCCTTTAACCACGACTCAGCCCACATCACTGCACCCTTCCCAGAACGCCATAGTGGAAATGCTGAAGTTGCACTGATGTTAGAGGTTCTGTCCTGATACTTGCTGGCTGAATGATCTCAGATCAATTTCTTCACCTTTCCAGGCCTCAGTTTCCACATCTGTAAAAGGAAGCTGATCTCTGCAGCCTCCTTACCACCCAAATTCTCACAAGGTCATTAGCCCATAGGTTTCCAGGTGTGCAGTGAAACACAGAATGCTGAGCAGCCACACCCCACTCTTACCCTATGGATGAAGAAGCGCTGAGGACGCACAAGTGCTGGAGGGTGGGGGAAGGCCGCCTGGGTAAAAACTATCAAGACAACTGAATATGGGAGAAAAACATTTCCCCCGTCCCCAGCTGAAACTGAAAATCGTCAATGTGCACAAGCACAAAGAATAGCTGTCAAGGCGCCCAGTGGTGTGAAGAAAACCTGAAATCATCTCTCTCTACCTGTACAGAGTATCTTTGTATCCTTTCATCTGCTCCAACTGGAAAAGGAGAATTAGGCAGATGGGGTGTTTTTAACGGATCGGATAATTTATCAGGTGTTATAAAACACAGGCAATCAATAAATAATATTTCAATGGAATTCAACATCTTTCCACTGGTTCTCTTTAGGAAATTTCAAGCTAATGCCGAAATGTTCCACTCTGCTCTCTGCAGCTCATTTAGTGAATTCCCATGTGTCAATGCACAAATTTAGAAGCTCAGAACAGCGGAGGCCACCAACATGACCGCATAGCACAGAAGAATGTAATCGGTTAATGTTTCAGGATCTACCCATCTAACATTGACAGCTCACAATCAACCTAAGAAGTTACTTTGTAAAATGGACTTTTTTATATTTCCTTGAATTTGAGACCTAGGAGCCAGTATTGCTTGACATTCCTGGAAAATTTCCTGATTCACACTTCACTTTCAACTTTGTGGATTGAGCTCTTAATTTCCTTTTTCCCTTCATATTTCCTTTTTTCTTCCTCTTTATCTTGTGCCTCACCTTTCAGAATTTTTTTTCTGGTTTTTTTTTTTTCTTTTTCTTTTTTAAAGATGGAGTTTCACTCTTGTTGCCTAGGCTGGAGTGCAATAGCGCAATCTCGGTTCACTGAAACCTCTGCCCTCGGGGTTCAAGCAATTCTTCTGCTTCAGCCTCCTGAACAGCTGGGATCACAGGCGCCTGCCACCACACCCAGCTAATTTTTTTATATTTTTAGTAGAGGTGGGGTTTCTCCATGTTGGTCACTCTGGTCTTGAACTCCTGGCCTCAAGGTGATCCACCTGGCTCGACCTCCCAAAGTGCTGGGGTTGCAGGCGTGAGCCACCGTGCCGGGCCAAGTCTGCTTTAAGAATAGTTTAGAAGGCCAGGCGCGGTGGCTCAGGCCTGTAATCCCAGCACTGTGGGAGGACGAGGCGGGTGGATCACGAGGTCAACAGTTTAAGACCAGAGTGGCCAACATAGTGAAACCCTGTCTCTACTAAAAAATACAAAAATTAGCTGGGCATAGTGGCTCATGCCTATAATCCCAGCTACTTGGGAGGCTGAGGTAGGAGAATTACTTGAACCGGGGACCTGGGAGGTAGAGGTTGCAGTGAGCCGAGATGGTACCACTGCACTCCAGCCTGGGCTACAGAGCCAGATTCCACCTCAAAAAGAAAAAAAAGAATAGTTTTATTTCCATCGTGACATTTTATTTTCAATTTTTCCTTTTTTCCTTCCATTTTAAATCCCCCCTCAGTGGTGCGCCTAAGTGCTCAGGTAATATACATAAAAATGCTTCAACAGACAGATGGTAAGTACCATCTCATGGTGCCCATACTTCTTAGTGAAAAAAGAACCCAAAACAGAGTGCGGGAATTCCATCCCCTCAAGTGCTATAATAATCCCTGCAGATGGTACTTCTGCATGTGAAACTGCAGCACAATGGATATATAAATGAGGGCTACCAATACACTTGACAATACAACGAAGTAGGTATTCTAATATTCCCATTTCTGATACACACATTACATAAAACCAGAAAAATTACTTTTTTTTTTTTTTTTGAGATGAAGTCTCACTCTATTGCCCAAGCTGGAGTGCAATGGCGTGATCTTGGTTCACTGCAACCCCCACCTTTTGGGTTCCAGCAATTCTCCTGCCTCAACCCCCGAGGAGCTGGGACTACAGGCACGCACCACCAGGCCCAGCTAATTTTTTTGTATTTTTTAGTAATAAAAGGGGTTTCACTATGTCGGCCAGGCTGATCTTGAACTCCTAACCCGTGATCTGCCTGCCTCAGCCTCCCAACGTGCTGGGATTACAGGCATGAGCCACCACGCCTGGCCCAAAAAATTACATTTAAGACAAGTAGCAAAATAAAACTTGCTAAAACATTTTGCAAAATCATCGCTACATTCTCATCTTTTCCAATATGCGATTTTCATGTAACTTGAATGTATATTCCAAGTAGACAGAAATTTGTCTTAGGCTGTAGATCTCATCCGCTTTGTAGGTTAGTCTCTGTGAGCACAGGATACCTGAAAACTGGTTAATGAATAATATTTCAGAAATCTTTACTAACATGCTAATCACAATGGGATAGCTCTCATTTAATTACTTTTAAAAAAAACTAAAAGAAAACATCGGTATTAATATTATCCTCATAGCTGAGGAAATTAAAGTTGAAAGAGGCTAAATAATTTACCTAAGGCCACATCTCTAGGGGTGACGGAACCGTGATTTGAACCTGGGAATTCTGCTCCCAAGCACTTAGCTACTACACAATATTACCCTGGTGGCAGTACTGGAGTCCTTGATTTCATAGGGGAGGGGAGGAGACTCATGTATTTGCCCTAGAAACATCTTATTATAATGTCAGACTAACAAAGATCCAATCTACTGAGATTTGCCTACAGAAATACCTAGAGGACCTAAACTTCACAGATTCCTTTGCCTACAAAATATGCTTCCTGCACAAAGTCCAGAAGCAAGGCCAGAGCCCCCCTGAATTATGGGGATCGGTGGGGGCCCATGGCTATCTACCTGCTTTCAGTTATCTGGAGATACTGTGCCTCCTGAACTGTGCACATACCAAAAAATGTCAAGGTCATCAATATTTACATCTCATGAACCCAAAAGTCCCATTAAAACGGTACCAGTTATTTATGGGAGGGTTTTATTTACCTGGCATAGATGGGAGAGGAGGGGAAGCTTGGAACTATTCACCACTTTATCGTAATCTCTAATATGAGAAGTCTACTGCCACCACCAAGGCTTCAGAGTCAAACCCGAAATATTTGTAACATAAAAATATCATGGATGCTACTCAATTTTCATGAGTCTAATGTTACCAACAGTAAGTCAGAAGACCCCATCACATTAGGCGCAACAGGAAAGCTTGAATAGCAAGCAATTTTGAAATGATGATGATCTACTAAATGCCAGATACAGCATTAAATTCTTGTTCTAAATGCTGTATCTGACTTTTTTTTTTTTTTTTTTTTTTTTAAAGACCGGGTTTCACCATGTTGGTCAGGCTGGTCTTGAACTCCCAACCTCAGCTGATCCGCCCACCTTGGCCTCCAAAGTGCTTGGATTACAGGTGTGAGCCACCACACCCGGACTGTATCTGACTTTTTTAAAGAAATGGTGTCTTGCTCTGTCGCCCAAACTGGAGTGCAGTGGTGCAATCTTGGCTCACTGTAACCTCCGCCTCCCACGTTCTAGCAATCTCCTGCCTCAGACTCCCAAGTAGCTGGGACTACAGGTGCATGCCACCACACACAGCTAATATTTGTATTTTATTAGAGACGGGGTTTCACTGTGTTGCCCAGGCTGGTCTTGAACTCCTGAGCTCAGGCAATCCACCCACCTCAGCCTCCCAAAGTGTTTTTTTTTTTAGTATGAACACAGACTAGTCGTGTTGTGCACACTCCACCCCTTCCTAAAAACGTTGCTGTATTTGTTATATTTCTTTCTCTTTTTTTTTGAGACAGTGTCTCACTCTTTCACCCAGACTGGAGTGCAATCTCAGCTCACTGCAGCCTTCACCGGATTCCAGGTGATCGTCCCACCTCAGCCGACAGAGAAGCTGGAACCACAGGCAACACGCCACCACATCCAACTAATTTTTGTTATTATTTGAAGAGATGAGGTCTCACTACGCTGCCCAGGCTGGTCTCGAACTCCTGGGCTCAAGTGATCCACCTGCCTCAGCATCCTGAAGTGCTGTGATTACACGTGTGAGCCACCACCGCACCCAGCCAACACTCCTAATTCCTTTTATTTTTCTTTGGGACAGAGTGTCGCTCTGTCACCCAGACTGGAGTGCAGCGGTGCGATCTCAGCTCACTGCCACCTCCACCTCCTGGGTTCAAGTGATTCTTCTTCAGCCTCCCGAGTAGTTGGGACTACAGCCACATACCACCACACCCAGCTAATTTTTGTATTTTTAGTAGAGATGGGGTTTTGTCATGTTGATCAGGCTGGTCTCAAGATCCTGGCCTCAAGTGATTCACCTGCCTCAGCCTCCCAAAGTGCTGGGATTACAAGCATTAGCCACCGCCCCTGGTCCACTCCTAATTCTTGATAATTCTTTGCCCTTGTAAAAAGAACCTGAGTTCTATAAATAGGCCACTAAGTTTCTCTGATTTCTCAATATAAGAATATCCAGAACAGAAAGCATGGAGGAAAGACGTATAAAATTTAACAGGGCGTCTGCATGATGTAACCAGGATTGACATACTAACCTTTTTAACGAAAATCTCCATGAAAATATAAAACAGGAAAACTCTGAAGACGCTCCTATTTGCTAAGGGTATATCCAGAAAGTATCAAAAGTTGTATTCTCCCAGTTGAAATCGTCTCAGTTTTGTCTTCCTGTTTTGATTACCGGTCTCTTGAAAAGGGGCCTGTGGTGTTGCAAATGATCCCATTACTCACTCCTCTCAGGTAACTCTGCTGGAAAGGGAAGGAAGTAAATCTTGGAGTCCTTCACCTCCATCCCTTAATCATATACACGCATGCCCTCAAAAGTTGTAAATCACTGTCTTTCACTGCATTGCCATGATTCACACCTGAAACAGAGCAGAGAAGACAGGTACTCAGAAATGCCAGGCCCGGAAAATAAGGCATCTTAATACATGAAAATCAATGATACTTGGGCACACCAGTATTGCTTCTTCTCAAACAGACATCACACCAGCAAGTACAGTATATCATTCTAATTAAGGGTCATCAGCCGTGTTAAAGGCAAATTTTATAGAGCAAAGCTTTCCAAACAGAACGTTTTAGGACTCAGTACCCTTTCCAAGTGCTATTAAAACCAAACATCTCTATCATGTTAATCCATTTGGGTGGCATGACTTTAATTAGTAAAATTAGCCCTGTTTGGCCAACTTTCCTCTCATAAACCATGCAAGGCAGAAACATGACCAATCGTATGTTTTAAGGTGCCACCTAATGATATAAAAGCACCTACCTACCTTTACACACAAGTGTTTAAAAATCAAAACACACCATCAATGTTGAAGAAAAAATATTTGAGGTTATCCTATTTATTACAATGATGTGCTCATGAAGAAAAAGGGTTCCAATAGTCAACAGCCTTCTTTTAATTTAATTACCAGAAAATGCAGCCAGTTTTCAGGTTTACCTGAATGTTATCAGTTTGAGTGGATTTTCCTGCTCAGTACACAGCTGCCTTGCTTCCACAGGTCTTGCTGGGAAGAGGCAGTAACAGAAGTGCATGCTCAGTATTTTCAAGCACGTTTAAAATCTCTCTAGCCGGGGAGATAAGAACACCTCCCTCTTGCCAAGCAAATGCCAACAACCAACAGAATGAGGCCAAATGATAAAAAACACCTCCTCCAGATTTTACTAAACTTCTTCGTTGAGCTTGTGCCATCATTATCAGCCGGCCTTCACAACTGCCAGTCTGTTCCATTCAATTTCCCATCAACTCAACATCAGCAGGATAACAGTACAATGGTCTCCCAGCTCCTAGATTTGGGAGATTGATGAGGGGATGCTAATGAGGGCTCTGCCTGCAAGATGTATTTTTCATATTTGACTCTCCAACCTTAATTTTGCATCATTCAAAAATCTGAAACTAATGCTCATGTTGGGTACAGAAATGACGCATTTTCAGCAAGAGCCAGGCCAGGCTGACAGACTGTTTCTTGAACTGCCTTTCAGCAAAATGGCTGCCTCAAGGATTAGGTTCTGAAATGGCTGAGAACAGGGATTTGTAAGACAAAGAATGACACGTATTTCTGACAGCTGTGAATATATACATAGGCTAGAAGTATCTTTTTTTTAAAAGCCATTGTGGTACATTTAAATGGAATAATGTAATTGAAAATACATTTTTTTTAAAAAAGAATGAACTCAATGCTACCACACTTTCAAGGCTGTTTTCTTTTTTTAATTGATTTTAAAGGACTTTGTATTAAGATCATAAGCCCTATGTTGCCAGACCAAAAGCTCTTTGCATAGAAATGACCGTGGTCTGCTCCACTTTCAACACAGGATTCTCTTACTCAGACTCCATCACCACTATATTTTTTAAAAGGCATCTCCTTTGAATTTTGGGTTGTACTGTGGAAACTTACAACTAATAATGCCTAAGCCTAAATGTATATGCACACACAAAAATTATTCTTTTCCCTCAATAAGCCTCTGCTAATATCTGTCATCCCTATTAAAGTACATGGATATAATATGTTCCTAATAAAAGGAATACACCTTGACGCACATTCTACCACAGAACAGGAGTCCCTGAGGTTACTTCAAACTTACTAGTACCATGAATTTGCTTTTGGATAACAATTTTTTTTTCTCAAATCCCATGGGTTATGTTTTAACTCCAGCTTTAAAACTGTGCAAATGGAAGGAAAACTATCTTAGTAAACATACACCTATCATCAGGTTTAAGAGAATTTTATTTCTAGACTTAGAAACGTTCCTTAAACAACCTCATATAAACCACAGATGCTGATGCCTGTTAGATATTAAGTGTCAAAGATTAACCTACAATGACCTATCTCTGCATCATATTCCAGGGTCACTTAAATATGAATACGGGATGATGCCACTTAGCTAAAAACGAAGATGTAACACAGATGCATGTCAGACTTTTAAAATGATCTTTGGGAAGTCTCAAAGGCTTATACTATCCTAAAACAGCAAATACTGACATCCATTTTTTGTCTTTTTTTTTTTTTTTTTTTTTTTTAAGTGTAACACCAGTAAACCACATTCAAGGTCAGAAAAAAGCCTACTTGGCCACCTGAGTAACTGCCATATTTGGTATTCAAAATTAAAAAGTGGAGAGTTAAAAGTGGTAGTTACATGCTGGATTTCTTTGTAAACTTAAAATTGGGGCAGTAAAAAAAACAAAATAAGGACAACTCATTTAATGGCCTTTGGTCAGCTCACTTGTTAAAGATACACTGATTTACATACACAGTCAAAGAATAGCACTTAACAGAATGACTAATGTCATAATCGGACACCTTTATTGAGTCATGTATACAAGAAACAGTCCCAAAATTGTAAGGCCTGCCTCAAGTAGGCTAAGAGGTAACTGAATGTTGTAAAATAGTAAAATATATGAAGAGACATGCATATAGCAAGAAATGCAGTCAGCAAAATGTCACTAAATTATACCCTTCAATCTGTCTTGCCTCTAAAATGCATCCCCATCAGACAGCCCTTCACCCACTCCACGCAACCAGAAAGGGAGTTGCAAGTCTGCAAGTCAAATGACAGCCCAGGAGTTTGTGGGTTTTCTAAATGGTGGTTTGAGATTTAGGTTTTCTTTCTCCATATAAGTAAAAGACCCATCAAAATGTTCTCCTGACACTACAGAATCATAGACAAAAAGGTTTATAGACTGAGTAGTTTACCAATTTCTTTTGATCAAAAGCAGTTAGAGGAGCAACTAGGTCAGATATCCCTTCTACCTGCCACTTGATTATTTGTGGGGAGACTTAAAGCTGGTTTTATTGATGTGCCAGGAAATGTTTCTCATATCAACTCAGCACTGGAGAGTAAGCCACAGATATTTAATTTCAATTAGAAAGTAACAGTCCCCCAAAACATAAAACCATTATTTCCAATGCCATAATTTTAAGGGGGAAATTTGGGGAAGAGTACAAAAAACTCCTACAGATACAAAAAGGATTGATGTTATTAGGAAGCACAGGAGGAACTGATTTTTATTACTCAAAGAGTATTGCTTAAGAAGCTCAGATTACAAGAGAGGCGCAGCTTTAGGAGTTTTGTATTCCAGGTACCAACATGAGTTACCAGTCAAAGGGAGCCTCTTCAGAAAATTATCATGATTTACTGATGCGTACCTGTAGTAATGTATTAGATAGATACAGAGACAGGTGTGTGTGTGTGTGTGTGTGTGTGTGTGTGTGTGTGTGTGTGTAATTTATAAGCTATTGTGTGTAATTTATATGCTATTGTGTGTGTGTAATTTATATGCTATAGTGTGTGTGTGTGTGTGTAATTTATATGCTATAGTGTGTGTGTGTGTAATTTATATGCTATTGTGTGTGTGTGTCTGTGTGTGTGTGTATTTTAAGACCACCACTGATGTTGTAAATGATTCAAGAATTATATAGGGAAAGCATAAATATATTTCTCTATCTCTGTCTACCTGGCTAACAAAAAGCTCTTAGAGCTGAAAAGTTCTAAGAGGCAGCTTGTTATCACAGAGCCTTGAATCTATAAATCTTACAGCTGACATTTCCCAACGTGGGGCAACAACAAATTAGAGAATGAAGAAGGGCACTTCAATTCTTAAGGGCATGAATGGCAGCCGCTGGGCTCATCTGGAATCCTTGGCTCATGCAAACTTGTTCATGCATTTGGTGTATTCATATAACGTGCCTATTTGCTCGGCGTAAAACCAGTAAGATGGCTGAACACTTGCTCTCGTCCATTTGTTGACTCACAACAACTCAAGGATTACATGCCACATAAAAAGAACCTGACCAGCTGGGAGGAGGCGTCAAGGACTTGATGAAATAGCACAAAGTCTTGTCTTGTTTTTTCTCTGGAAAAAGCCAAAAAGAAAATATTGTTTTCTAATAATTCTAATAGCCCTTTCATTTCTCCTCTCGTTATAAAAACTAGAATGTATTCCCAGCATGTGTCGATGGATGGTCACAACTCGTCCTCAAAAATCAGGTGCTTTAGGTGAACGGGCCAATATGGAATCTCAAGGGCAATTAAGCTGTTGTTTTGTACACACTTTTATGATGAGCTCGATATGCTTCTAGATGGTAAATATAATCTCCGAAGAAAAAAAAAATCATCAAAATGAAAACCTTAAGTTCCCGAGTCAGAGACACCATGAGAAACAGTGTCAGTATTGTCTTCAAGCATAATCATTAATTAAATAAGACTTCATGTATTTACTAGGAAAATGGGTCAACCTGGTACTCTTCATAAGGGGACAAAACAGTCTAAGTGATTCTAATAAAAACGTTCTCAAATCTCTCTTATTTTACAACCAATTGGAAAACAACAATCACATATCTTCCATAGTTGTCATACCAATATTAAATAAATGTCTTATTTACCTCTTTACCTCATTTATATTCTCAGAGATACACAAGTATTTGGCCAAAACAGAATATACTTTAAAAATTAATCACTTAAAATTTTCCTTCTAAAAGACATTCTGCCTTTATCTTGCCATACAAAAGACTATCATTTCTTAAACCATTACTTTGTACCTACTCAATTCCTACTCATGTGGTTCCTTGGGAAGCTGGATTTCTCCAAATGTATTTGTTTTTATTAAACAAATGTCCAACAACTTTCGGAATTAACAAATGGACTAGCAGCCCCAAAGCACTGCCAGCTAAATAAGCAATTAACCTGAGAACACAAACACATCCCAGGCTACTGAATTCAGAACATTCTCAGATTATAGCCAATTGCCAAACTCATTCATCTCAGCAAGTCACTGTGCCAAGCCTTTCTTGGTAAAGACAAGCACAACCTCAGGATCTTTCTTTACCTTCTCTCACTTTAAGAAGTATCAAAAAATTAGATA